GTTGAGGTCCTTCCCTTTGTGGCCGGTGGAGCTGGCTTTGTCTCTTCAACTTACCCACTCTGTCTCTGGGGGGAAAGCCCACAGCCACATTTTTATCTGCAAAGTAAATGTCCTAACACACATCCCTCCTGCCAGGCAAAGATGTGATGAGACAATTAAAGAAAACTTACAGGTACGCCATCCAGGGAAGTGTGGGTGGCCTGAGAAGGAATCAGCCATTGCTGAGTACTGGGAGTTTCACTATGTCAAATGCCACAGAATTGTGAGAAGAATGTAGTCTGACAGCTTGGTCCAGGGGACCAGAGCTGGCACCACTGTTTCTACAGGGCCTACCCAACAGAAGTTTGACCCTTGCGTTTGGCCTTTGATGATCATCCCAGTCCCATCATGCATGCAAAGTGTGACCCTGTTATCTTCTCTAGAAATCTAAGATACTGCAACATTAAAAGTGCCCTATCAGAATTCATCAAAACAGCCTTGGGCCAGCATTTTGGCTCTGTGGGAGAACACTGGTTCAAAAGAAAAATCAAAATGGCTAGTTCTGCATTGTTTCTGTAAAGAAGACAGCAATACTTATCTTCCATCTACTGGTTTACTCTCCTGATGATCGCAACGCTGGGCCCAGTTGATGCCGGGAGCCAAGAGCTTCCTCTGGGTCTCCCATATGTCAGGTCCAGAAGAGACTGGTCCTAACTTGATTTTCTACTCTGGAATCCAAGTCGGACAGCAGTGCTGAGTGCCACAGCCCAAAGGCAGAAATAACCCAAATGTCTGTCAAAGGTGAGGCCAACTGCAGTGTATTCATTCCTGCAGTGAATTCTCATTCAGCCATGGCAATGAAGCAGTGATAGGTGCTACGACGTGGATAAACCTTAAATACATTATCAATGCTGTGACTGTTTAATTAAAATGGTAAATTTTAGGAGTAATTTTATGTATCATGTGGAATTGTATTTTTATAATATGATAATATAATGATACACAGAAAGATTGATGATAGCACAGCTACACCAGGGTAGGCACAGACCAAGTACAAGCTTTCTTTGACTGGTCTCACATTCCCCTTATTTGTTTATTTGCAATTCAATGAACTAAGTAAGTTCTTGAATCTATCCCTCCCAAGAAAAACTAGTAAGGCAGCAGTTACAAATTGCCTCTAAACTGAGCCTGAGGCAAGCACTGTCCTTGCTTCGTGATGTCCATCTGTTTGCCTCATTGGACAGGAAGATAAAACGGAAGCTGTGAGGGGGTCTCAAAAAGATCTTGATTTTGAGGAACACACACATGTTCAGCCAAGCATAAGCAAAGTATGTGGGGATGCTGGGAGTACATACGAACACTAAGGCCCGTCACCGAGATTCACATACAGGTAGGTCATCACACCGTGGTGCCCCAGTGTCAAAGCCCAGGAGGTGAGACCGGAAGGGCAGCATCAAGGCAGCATTTACTCACTGGTTGGTATTCATCATCGCACATGGGAGTAAACACACAGGAATGGGTACTTTCCCAGCACAGCTGTCGGTGGGGACTCACAAAACAGGTTGAAGGGATAAAAACCCTGGGCAAAATCGTGCGTGGTGCCATGGAGGGTTTCACTGAAGAGAATATTCAGCAGAGAAAGTTTCTGACTTCCTACCACACAATCGCAGGTAGAGAGAGAGACCCATCCCAAGAACCCCGTGGGCTGAGGAGGCTGCTGGCCTCTGATCCTACTGCTCACCTCCCCAACTCGCAGAGGTTGTCATCAGAGGGAGTCAGCGACACTCCAAGCGTCATGTGAGGTGGGCTCAGGCAAGGATCCAACCCACCAGCCCTCACGTGGCCATGGCATGATAGGAGCTGGCACTTGCGTTAAGCCAACGTCTAGCATCTGGGTAACACTTTCTCGGGTACACTGGGGTCTAGAGAAGAGAGGTTTTATAACCAAGACTGGGTTCTTTTGCTTTCCAGGAACGAAAAGTTACATAGGTCAATACAATGGATTGTTTGTCAACACAACATAATTGGATTTATTGCAAAGTGATGGCTTTTAAGGAATTCAAAATGACAGGCTAGAGAAGAGTGCCAGGGTAGAGAGAGAAAGCCCTGGAGAGAGAGAGGGAGAACCTTGGGGTTTGTGAACTGTAACTACTTTCACTACTGGGGTCCACATCCTGGCCATCCTAGCCCACAAATAACTGACATGGACCACAACATCCTGATCTCAAGAGCAAGCTGCCTGCCATGGCCGGGGGAGGTGTCCACTCCACTGTGTAACAAGTACAGTCTTAATTAACTATATAAAGATTGTCAAAATAAAAAAAAAAAAAACAAGTACAGTCTTCTAATTGTAAAGACTGATTCCAAGTCACAGCCGACTTAGATAAAGAGGTAAATAAGAAATAGAATTTGGGGGGCCGGCATGGTGCCACAGCCAGTTCAGTCGCCTCTTGCAAAGTTTCCCATCCAGCTCCCTCCTGATGTACCTAAGAAGGCAGCAGTGGATGGTCCAAGTGCTTGGGTCCCTGCCACCACACAAGACCCAGATGAAGTTCCTGGCTCCTGGCTTTCACCTAGCCCAGCCGTGGCTGCTGCAACGTTTGGAGAATGAACCAGATGATGGGACATTTCCCTCTCTCACACACACTGCCTTTCAATAGATAACAATAAATATTTTTTTAAAAAAAAATTATATTTGGGGCCTGGCAAGGTGGCCTAGAGGCTAAAGTCTTCGCCTTGAACGTGCCAGGATCCCATATGGGCACTGGTTCTAATCCCAGCAGCCTTGCTTCCCATCCAGCTCCCTGTTTATGGCCGGTGAAAGCAGTCAAGGACGGCCCAAAGCCTTGGGACCCTGCACCTGCATGGGAGACCTGGAGGAAGTTCCTGGTTCCTGGTTCCTGGCTTTGGATCGGCGCAACACCAGCCGTTGTGGCCACTTGGAGAGTGAACCAACGGACAGAATATGTTCCTCTCTGTCTCTCCTCCTCTCTGCATATCTGACTTTACAATAAAAATAAATAAATTTTTTTTAAAAAAAAAAAAGAGAGAAAGAGAGAGATTTGGGCTTAGCATGATAAAGTCTTCACCTTGCACATGCTGGGATCCCATATGGGCGCCGGTTCTAATCCTGGTGGTTCCACTTCACATCCAGCTTCCTGCTTGTGGCTGGGAAAGCAGTTAAGGACGGTCCAAAGCCTTGGGACTCTGCACCTGCATTGGAGAACCAGAAGAAGCTCCTGGCTCTTGGCTTTTCATCGGCTCTGCTCCAACCATTGTGGCCACTTGGGGAGTCAATCAACAAATGGAAGATCTTCCTCTCAGTATATCTGACTTTCCATTTTAAAAAAAATCTTAAAAAAAAGAGAGAGATTTGTTATGCTCAAACCCTTGACTTCCATCTTTACTCTTTCTTCCCACAAGAATATTCTGCTCAGTTGACTATTCACTCTTCCCACAACCTGTTTCCCAGTGTAGAAAAAAAAGAAGGGGACTGGGTCTCTCCCATCTATCCTGAATCTTATCTTAAGCCTGCTAAGGGTAGAAACTTTCTAGACCATTAAAGGAACAATTTGGAAACCCAACCCTCTGAGGACTAATTCTATGGGAGTAACTCAGAGAGGAGCAAAAACACTGGGCATATCTAGGAGTAATTTTATTCACAAACATTTTTCTGTTGAACCCTTCATATTTACTCAATGCAAGAAAAAATAGTAAGTGTTTGAAGTGATAGACATGTCAATTACTCTATCATCACACCTCATACACAGATATTAAGATGTTATTCCACATTGCGTAACTATTGATTTACTATATTATCATTTAAAACAAAAAACTGAAAATAACTATAATTTCATAATTTAACCCTGTTTAAATTTATGATACAAAATTTATGTGTAATGTCAAAATTGTTTAAGCAGGCACTGAATTTAGAAGAATTGAAAGCAAAAACGTTGAAGACATTGCATTCAGAGAAGTGGCAAGAACATGCATTTGACCTCCTAGAACCGAGTGACATGTCCACAGTTGAGGCCATTCATTCAGGATGTGGTCTAAAAATTAGTGATACACAGGAAGCTCTGAAATTTCCGTTTAATAAAGAGATTGTGGCACAGTGGGTTAAGCAACTGCACAGACAACATCAATAGCAGGAAGCATAGGATGTAGTCCAAATTCCATATGATTCAAGTTTATGTTGATATATATCCTAGGAGGCAGCAAGTGACACCACCCCATGGAAACCTTGCTAGAGTTCTTGGTTCCTAGTTTTAGATCGACCCAAAGTCTAACCCTACCTGAACCTAGCTCTAACCTTATTTGAACCTAGCCTTAACCCTAACCCTAACTCTAACCTTAACGTGCTGTTGTGGGCACTTGGGGAGTGAATCACCAGATGGCATATTTCTTGTTCTGTGTGTCTTCTCTCTCTGCCCTCCCCTCTCTAATGCTCTTGCTTCATTGGCATTTTGAGGAATTTTTATTTTGAGTGGTGGTAAGAACTACCATTTAAGGGAAGAAACACTCTCTCCTAGAATTGCTCAGCTCTACTGAGGCTGAACTCGGCAGATTCTGCATTAGGCAACTTTCCACTTTAAGATTCTATGACTCAAGAGCAATATTCCAAAGTAAACATTTGAGTAAAGTAGAAATACAGTTTTGACTATTGATAAAAAAAATCAACTGCACGTGCAGATATGATCATTTATAGAACTGCATGCAATCTGAAGCCTCCTTGAATATAATAACTACAATACACATAAACAGTAGGAATTCAAACACTAAGCATGACGTATCTCTAAAACAGTAAATTTGGGGTTGGCAAGAAGAGATAGTTTCAGGGTGGAAATGGACAGTCCACACCACTCTCAGAAAACAGAAATCTGAACTCAAAAGAATCAGGCATTACACAACTTGGAGCTGAATAAGCTTACAGTGTGTCCACATTTCCTATCTCAAAAGTTCTTCCAAGGCCAAACATTGCAACTGTGAAAGGACACGTGTCACCCCGCCCTCTTGCTGTTTCATTATTGACAAACTGTCCTGCCCAGCCAGTTACTCAGCGCCACTGCCACCGTGGGAGTCATAGCAGGTAAAGTGGACATCTTACTTTGAAAAATTTGGAATAGGGAAAGTATTGTATTATTTTTATTTCTTAAAAATTAATTTACTTAATGGAAAGGCAGAATTACACAGAGAAGGAGAGACAAAGAAAAAGATTTTCCTTCTGCTAGTTCAGTCCTAAATGGCCGCGGCAGCTGGAGCTGAGCCAGTCTAAAGCCAGGAGCTTCTTCCAGGACTCCCACATGGGTGAAAGGCCCAAAATAGCTTGTGCTATCCTCAGTTGCTTTCCCAGGACACAAGCAGGGAGCTGGATGGGAAGCGAAGCATCCAGACATGAATCAGAGCCCATATGAAATTCTGGCACTTGAAAAGGGAGGATTAGCCAATCTAGCCATTGCATCGGACTCCAAGATGATTTTTTACTAAGTTCAATTGCTCTGGGAAAATGAATGGAGCAATTGCATTTTATCAGACACCATTCACTCCACTCTGACCCGAGGAATCAGATCCTGGTGTATTGGGGAGCCGTGCTTTGGGTGGAACATTCTCTGTCCCGTCATCACAGCTGGATCTTTCCACAGCTCTTCAGCCGCCATGACTGGGATCTTCCCAAATGCTGCCCTTGTTGTGGTCATTGCCGCGTGGGCTGTTTTCGCATCTGGTGAGTTACTTGCTCTTTCGTTTTTTTAATTTATTTTTAAATTTTTATTTGAAAGACAGATTTCACAAAGAAATGGAGAAATAGAGAAAGATCTTCTATCCACTGTTTCACTCTCCAAATGATCACTACAGCAAGCGCTGGGCTGATCCAAAGCAAGGGACCTCCTACAGGTCTCGCACACAGGTGCAGCTTTAGTCATCCTCCAGTGCTTTCCCAGGCCATAAACAGGGAGCTGGAAGGGAAGCGGAGCAGCTAGGACATAAGCCAGAGTCTATATGGAATGCAGGTGCTTGAGGGCGGAAGACTAGCTTGTTGAGCCACGGGCCAGCAGGGGCCCCACGTTTCCCGTGGTGTGGCTGGAATCCTGTAAGATGCACAAGAGGTGTGCCTGAGGTGAGTTGTGTGTAATCCTCCTTTCCCAAATGACAGATGTAGAGAGGATTCACCCAGCAGCAGTAACAGCTTTCTCACTTTTCTTCAGTAATTCACTCTCCATTAGGTCTCTCTCTCCCAGCAATTTTTTTTCAAGTTTTCCTCATCTTAAAACCAAAGGGATTCAGAACTATTCTTTACATCTCTCCTGTCTTAGGGGAAAAACAAAAGACATCATTTCCTTTTCCTCCCTTTCCCTGTCAAATCTGTGTGCCACTGCAGAAGTCCTTACCTTTCCCTGCACCTCACCCTGGGGGGACTGGCGGGGAGGGGCCCAGAGGCAGAGGCTCCCTGCAAGGACACCGCATTCCTCCCTGCCACCTGCACCCTGCCCCGTGCTCACCCTCTGGGAACACACTGTGACTCAGCCACTTCCCCATTCCTGCTTTGAAGGTTGTCTGGCCTTCATGTTTTCCTTCTGTCTTTCTCTCTGTGAGTCTGTATCCAGCGCTAGAGTTCCATGGGCAGAACACTTCATGCATCACATAAATCCATGTCTTGCATATTTCCACGGTGACGTTTTCCCATCGCTGTTCCCTGAGACTATCTGTGTTCTCCAATGTGTCCCTGGCATCCAGCCCACATCCTCCATGCTGCTGCCATGCTTTTCTTTGGTTAGTGCAACTCCTAGCTTTGCTAAACCCAAAAGCTTCTGGGACATGAGGAATCCTCAAAAGTTCATGGAAAATGTGTGCTATGGGGAAAAAACTATACATGGATTTCAAATTCTTTTGCACTGAAATAAGCATGTCTTTAATCTCATTTTTTCCTTGTACTTTTTGAAGAATTATTTTTTTAAAGATTTATTTATTTTTACTGAAAAGTCAGATATACAGAGAGAAGGAGAGACAGAGAGGAAGATCTTCACAATGACCAAAGTTGTGCCAATCCGAAGCCAGGAGCCCAGATCCTCTTCTACATCTCCATGCAGTGCAGAATCCCAAGGCTTTGGGCCATACTTGACTGCTTCCCAGGCCACAAGCAGGGAGCTGGATGGAAAGTAGGACTGCAGAGATTAGAACCAGCACCCATATGGGATCCAGGCGCATGCAAGGTGAGAACTCTAGCTGCTAGGCTAACGCGCCGGGCCCAAATTCAGTGTCTCTTAAAGCATCTCAACCCAACTACTCCACGGTAACCCTCAACGCAGAGCAGGTTTCCTAAAAGCAGCCGGCAATAGTGTCTGTTATTTTTCCATGACAAGTCAGGGCCAGAATTCAGATCCCCGTTTTATGAGATATGAGGGGCAGAAAGTTCCTGACTCTACAGTTCTCTAGAGGGAATCGGCCCCTCTTTAACGAGATCTGACACCTACTGTATGCCAGCCAGCCTTTCCCTCCTCAGATCTCCCTGCTCCAGGCAATCCTCTGTGTGTGTTTGTCTTCCAGATTTCCCTCTCCCAACGGCTTCCAAGGGGGCTCACCTAGAAGAGACAAAGGTGAGCTCTGCTTGCTTGACCTCCACCATGGCAATGGGTACACATCCAGTTTCGCTCCTATCCTAGCTCTTCCTTCTGGGAGTTGGGGAACAGAGGACACTTGTGTAGGAATCCCACAAATCACAGCTGTTCAGTCACTAAGAATATTAGCACATTTTGTATGTTCTGGGCTCTCTTTTCCTGGGCTTTAATCCCGCCAGCTCCAATGACTCTCGTGTGGGGCAGCAGGTAAGGATTCTCACCATTCAAGTTGGTCCTACACTACAGCAGACACTCTTTCCTCCACAATGTGCCCAGTCATATATGCCACCTCCTTCACACCAAGACCCTGTGATCTTCCCGTCAGTTCTCTCCTCTGTCTTATCCCGACTGGGACCAGTTTGAGCCTGCTGCCACCTGAGGCATCACATCTGATAAGCACTCGGCCAAGTTCACAATAATTTCTGACCCTGAAACACATGTCCTACTTTTGTCACCTAACAAGCACATTTTGTGATTGGTAGGTCAAGTATTTTCATCTTTTAAATTTTTTTTAATTCATTTGTTTGAAAGAGAGATGGAGAAAGGAAGAATCATGCATTCACTGTTTCGCTCCCCAAATGGCTGCAACGGCTAGACCCGAGCCCGATCAAAGCCAGGAACCAGGAACTTCATCCAGATCTCCCCTGTTAGTGCCAGGGACTCATTATACTTGGGTCATCTTCTGATGCTTTCCTAGGCATGTTAGCAGGGAGACGAATTGGAAGCTGAGCAGCCAAGACTTGAACCAGCACTTCAATAAGGGACACGGGGGTCACAAGCCACAGTTTTGACCTGCTATGTTTACCTGCTATGTTACACCAGTCCCAGATTCTTAATGAGGAACTTATGGGGGCAACGAGGGAGTTCACAGCTTAGACAGAATACTCTAACTACATACGCACTGTTCATGCTAAGTGCCAGGGTCCAACACCGGCTTCTAAAGGCCACTCCCCTAACTCTGGATCTGCTGCTGCCTCCTCCTTGACCACGCATGCTGAGCATGACCCGAGGGCCTCAGGGAGCGTGTCTGAAGCAGTGGTTGGTGTCTACCCTTCAGGCTGAATGCATGAAGAACATAAACAAGTGCTGGCTTCTGTCCTACTTCAAGCCTAGCGAACCCATATGTGGCAGCGACCAGGTTACCTACAATGGCGAGTGCCATCTCTGCTCCAAAATCCTGTAAGTACTAGTATTCTTTTTCCTTCTCAAGCTGGGAAGGCTAATGGTGGGGGTGAGGGGGCAAAATAGGGGTGACATCCTCATCCCGCTTTCTGTCATCCAGCTGGCTCTCCCCCTCCAGAGACTCCATTGTTTCCATCTTGCCCAAATGCTTTTCCATTTTTTCTTTAATATTTACTTATTTTTACTGGAAAATCAGATATACAGAGAGGAAGATTTTCCATCCACTGAATCACTGCCCAAGTGGCCACAATGGTTGGAGCTGAGCCAATACGAAGCCAGGAGCCAGGAGCCTCTTTCAGTTTTCCCACATGGGTACAGGATCCCAAGGCTGACTACTTTCCCAGACCACAAGCAGGGAGCTGGATGAAAGTGGGACCACCAGGATTAGAATCAGCACCTATATGGGATCCAAGTGCATGCAATGCAAGGATTTTAGCCACTAGCTACTGCTGTAGGCTCTCTGCTCTGCTTTTCTAGAAGGTTTAGGGGTCCCTATTCAGATCCTGCAGGGACAGAGAGCCACTGAGGTGAGAGATCAAGCAAAAGGAACTCAGCAGCAAGTGAACAGCACCCAGATCACAAGACTACAGAACGCCCAGCCCCCTCCCAGGCCAAGGAACTAGAGGATGAAGCCGGGTGACACATATTCCCAAGTAACGGCTTCTTGATCCCTGAGTAGATATTATTCCTCAAAACACCTTCCTTCCATTGTCAGCACAGTTTGGGCCTATACCATGTTGGAAGCTTTAGGAAACACCCTTATAAATTGCCCAACATGAGTCAGGAGATATCGAGGAAGAACCCAAGAGGGGGAGTTGTCCCTGGCATCTGTTCTCTTCTTTAAAGATGAAATCCACACCCTTGTCCAGCTCACATTTAGAAAGTAAGTCCACTATCTTGAGAGAAAAGCAGGGGCCTAGTAGACAGCCAGCCTCTGTGCCTACGGCGCTGGCATCCCACATGGGCATCAGTTTGAGTCCTGGCTGTCCCACTTTTGATCCAGGTCCCTGCTAACATGCCTGGGAAAGCAGTGGAGAATCGCTCAAATAGAAGACTCAACTAGGAGACCAGGAAGAAACTCCTGGCTTCTGGTTTCAAATAGGCCCCGTCTCAGCCATGGTGGTCATTTAGGAAGTGAATTAGTACATGGAAGCTCTTTCTCCTTGTCTCTTCTTCTCTCTGTGTAAATCTGCCTTTAAAGTTAAAAAATAATAATAATAATCTTTTAAAAAGAGAGGGAGAAGCAAAGACACAGCAGGCTAAATTTCTGTCTCTCCTCTTCCTCCTCTTGGCTTTTCCTCCAGAGAAAGAACAATACCCTTTTTGATTGAAATGGGAAACATTTGGCTGGGCATACTCGGGACTTTTCTTTTCATTCCTGGCTGTACAAATACTAAAACTCACACTAGAAAGCACAGAAGAGCTACGAAGTAAACAACTCTGGTGCCTGTCTCAATTGCTGGCATGGACCCTTAGCCATGAGAATGCCTGCAGACCCCCAGCACCTCAGACTCAAAGGACAAGGGAGACATCTGAGAGAGGGCCTCCCAGGGGTTCCCCTCAACTGCATTCAAAGAATGATATTCATAGCAGGTGTTCTGAGGCTGACAAAAAATATTAAATTATCCCAATCTAATTTGGGTTAATGGCAACCTAATTACAGAAGCACTCTTTCATAAAAAAGACTTCTCCAAGGGCCTTCCTTCTCCATTTGCACAGCTACCTCTGCCAAAAGTTCACTTTTGAATGACGACATCAAAACCAAAGGGGAACAACTTACTGAAGGTCTGATGGCTGTGAATGAGCCAAAATGCATTCTTTTTTTTCAAAAATTGGGTTGAAATTCAGATGACAGAATTAATTACTGCAGAATGAACATATCAGTGACATTTACATCATTTATACTGCCAGCTAAATACTACCTTTGTTTAGTTTCAAAGCGCCTCCATCACATAACACAACGCCACATCCATTAGACAGCTATTTTCCATTCCCTCCTCCCATTAGTCCCTGGTAACCAGCAATCTGCTTTCTGTTCTGTTTCTGTGGATTTAGTGGTGTGTGTGTGTGTGTGTGTGTGTGTATTTTAAAATCACTGTGAGCAGAATATCTTCTTCTCAAACTTAGCCCAAGATAATCAGGTAAAATTTGATCATCACATATTATTTACCACAGAGAAAGAAAAATAATTTCACAACATTTTCTTTCAGATTTCAAGGGCTTAACCTAACTAAACTGCATGATGGACTATGTGTAAGTAAAGTTACTTTCATTTTTCCTTTTCAGAGTTATATAAATGTATTTAAGAGCAAATGGTTATAGACAATGTTAATGTTAGGAAAAATTTTAAACATATGAAATGTTACATAATGACATATATAATGAAGTTCATACACCTAGCACATGGATTCAACAAAGTGTAAAGTTTTTGCCCATGTCCTTTCTCGGTTTCTTTTCTATTTTCTTTGATGAAGTACTTCAGCCCAAGCATCAGGCATCGTACCATTCACTCTCATGTAGCAGAAGGTATCTGGAAGAAGTAAGGAAGCATCCTTAACACAATGTTGTTACTACACTGAATTACAGCCTTTTCATCTTCTCGGGGTACCTCCTCTCCAAAGGACCTGATAATTCAATAGTAAAAGGAATGGGCCACCCTCTCTCGTTCTTGTCAGTATCTAAGCTGTTAAAAAAAGAAAAACACTCGGAATGGGAACAATTATGAAACTGGAAGGATCAGAACTTCCCTTAGGCTTGGGTTGAGATATTGTCTTTGAGGCCACTGGAGTTAAACAAGAACAGCTGATGCCATAGAGCTATCTGTGGCATGATGAGGGGCATGGCAGTGAGATTTGGACTAATCATTGCAGAAGAGGAAATAAAGCAGGCAAAGCTGGGCAGTGACATATATAATGTAGTCATAACTGTATTACAATATCTTCCAACACAACCTTCACCATGAGTGCACGGGCTCATCTGATATCAGGGAAACACACACATTTCCTGGGAAGGTCTACAGGCTAAATGTTCTGTAATTCCATTAAGGAAAAATCATAATTCGCAGAAAAGCCTGTTTCATCCTCTCCTCTCACATCTGGATTCCACCTCCATTCTCAGCTCTTGTCAAATGCCCCTCTGGCCTGATGTCTGTTTCAAATTCTTCACAGAGATGCACTGAAAAGTCAAACATATCTACAGAACGGTGTCTACCGTGCTCCAAGCATCACTGCGTACTAAAGTACACATGAATGTAAAACAGGGGAGAAAGGTTTAAGGATCATGGGGGAAGAGGGGTTGACAAGGAAAATACAGAAGTATAAACTAGTAAAATAGCAATAAAAATAAATAAATAATAATAAAATAAAACCTTTTAAAAAAACATTTATTTTTATTGGGAAGGCAGATATACGGAGAGCAGAAACAGAGAGGAAGATCTCCCATTTGTTGATTCATTCTCCAAGTGGTTGCAACAGCCAGAACTCAGACAATCAGAAGCCAAGAGCCAGGAGCTTCTTCAGAGCCTCCCATGTGGTTGCAGGGTCCCAAGGCTTTGGGCCGTCCTCAACTGCTTTCCCAGGCCACAAGCAAGGAGCTGGATGGGAAGCAGGGCTGCCGGGATTAGAACCTGCACCCATAAGGGATCCCAGCACGTTCAAGGCAAGGACTTTAGCCATCAGGCTAACACACCAGGCCCTCTCCCTGTGGTTTTAAAAAGAAGGATTTATTTATTTATTTAGAAAGAGTTACAGAAAGGAAAGGAGAGACAGAAAAATAGCTTCCATTCATGGTTCACTCCCCCCCCCCCCCGCCCCGGCCTCATATGACCCATATGGAATCCTGGTGTATTCAAGACAAAGACTTTAGACGCAGGGCACTGAGCCAGGCCTGAAAATCACTGTTTTATTTTTTAAAGATGTATTTATTTTGGGGCTGGCATGATGGCTCAATTGGCTAGTCCTCCCCCTTCAAGTATCAGGATCATATATGGGTCTAGTTCGTGTCCCAGCTGCTCCACCTCCCATCCAACTCCCTGCTTATGGACTGGAAAAAGTATGAGACGATGGCACAAAGCCTTGGGAACCTGCACTCAAGTGAGAGGCCTGGAGAAAGCTCCTGGCTCTCAATCAGCCCAGTTCTGGCTGTTGCGGACACTTGGGCAGCAAACCAGCAGATGGAAGATCTTTTGTGTATTTCCTCTCTGTAAATCTACCCATCATGTTTTCTGTACCCATGGGAGTTACCAGAGACATTTCTGGGGTCCATGCCCTCATCCAGGTATCCACATGCTTTGCTCCCCTTTTCTCTGCCTAGTGCCACTCCCCTTCTGCAATGAAATTAGAATGTTTCAAGCCTGCAACTGCTGAGTGAAGGGGTATGGTTACCAAAATGATGGCTTTTTTTTTTTTTTCTGAATTCCTCCAAATTCAATTTCTCTAAGCAGATAATTCTCTTGCAGGACAGTTCCTGAACTGATCAGAAAGAATAATCTACACCTCCAGATCATCAAGTACATCCTCTTTGGAGGAAAATTCTGGCAATGGAGGAAACCACTGGTTAGGATTCAACTCCTGGGCTTGCTTTTGCAGTAAATGATTCTCAGCAGATCTCCTGCCTGGCCAGCATGACTACTGTCCCTAAGCTATAAGACTCTTGCCATGGGCTTTCATTGAGCAAACATTCACTTAAACCCCAAACAAGGCACAGGTGCCTCAATGGCAGTGTTTATGGCCTGAGGGCACTGGCCCTTGTGGAGATGAACATAGACCTTTGTGAGTGACCTGGTTTTCAAGACATCAGATTTGAGGTTCAGAATTTTCAACCACTCCAAGAAAGGGGCTCAGATATTCAAAGGGAACTCACTGAGCGTAATACTTGTAGTTGTGCCTGACCAACGTCAAGATTTCTAAATGCTTCACTATTACTAACTTAAATACATTCTCATTTTATAGAAAAAAAGAAACTAAAGCTCATAGATTTCTCACAATTCCATGAGATAATTTCTACCAAAACAAACTGTGTAGATTCTTACATGAAAATCTGAACTAGTTCTTGTCCCAGGGTCACAAGAAATTAGGATATGGGAAGGGGGGCAGCCTTTCTCTCCCTGTGGGCACAAGGTGAAAACAGAAACATCTCTCTGCCCGCTCTACCCCTGTGAATTCCTAATCTTTCCAATAAATTTAAATATATATATATATTCAGTAAAAAAGAATTGGCCATGCTCATAAGGAAACAGACCAAGAATGAGAGTATGCATCTTGTGATACTAAATGTGTTTCATTATATAATATGCTGCAATGCTCCTTTTTTCAAACATTCATTTATTTTTATTGTAACTCAGATATAAACAGAGAGGAGGAGAGACAGAGAGGAAGATCTTCTGTCTGATGCTTTAATGCTCTTTAAAGCTCCCAGGGTAATGTCACCAAGGACTAAGGAAATTCACTCAGCATGATCTACTACTAGTAGGGGAGAAGTTATAGTCCCTTCTTCCAGTTTCTTCTCAGTTCTCAGGACACAGCACAAAAAAAGAACGAGACCACAGGGGTGGCTTGGTGGTACAGCAAGCTGATCCTCCACCCTGTGGTGCTGGCATCCCACCTTGCTGCCAATTCGTGTCCTAGCTTTTCCACTTCTGATCAAGCTTTCTGCTTAGGGCCTGGGAAGGCAGTGACTGGAGGACGGCTCAAGCCCTTGGCTCACTGCACTCACGTGGCAGACCCAGAAGAGGTTCCTGGCTCCCAGCTTTAGATCAGCTCTGCTCTGGCCACTGTAGCCATCTGGTGAATCAATCATCAGATGGAAGATTTTCACTGTCTCATCTCTTAAGAATCTGCCTTTCGGGGCCCAGCACGGTAGTCTAGCAGCTAAAGTCCTCACCTTGCATGTACCAGGATCCCATATGGGCACTGGTTCCCATATGGGTACCAGTTCTAATTTGAGTAGCCCCACTTCAGCTCAGCTCAGCTCCAGCCTAGAGGTTGAAATCAGCAAACAGAAGATCTTTCACTGTCTCTCCTCTCTAAATCTGATTTTCCAATAAAATAAATAAATCCTAAAAAAAAATCTTCCTTTCAATAAAAATAAAATAAACCTTGAGGTATTTTCTTTTCTTTTTTTTTTTTTTAAAGATTTATTTATTTTTATTGGAAAGGAAGATATACAGAGAGGAGAGACAGAGAGGAAGATCTTCCGTCCAATGATTCACTCCCCAAGTGAGCGCAACGGTCGATGCTATGCCGGTCCGAACCGCGTGGGTGCAGGGTCCCAAAGCTTTGGGCCGTCCTCGACTGCTTTCCCAGGCCACAGGCAGAGAGCTGGAAGGGAGGCGGGGCTGCCGGGATTAGAACCGGCACCCATATGGGATCCTGGGCGTGCAAGGCGAGGACCTTAACCACTGCGCCACCGCGCCGGGCCCGAGGTATTTTCTGAAATGAATCTCAGGTAACAAACAGTAATAAAATAAAAAGCCCTCCCAAATTCAGGGACTCTGATGCAAAATCAGATTTCAGCATCATCTTATTCAATTATCTTTGAGTACTCCGATGACATCAATATCCTACAAGTTAAAAAGTCCGATTTGTTTTTTCATTTTTAAAGATTGGGGCCTGGTGTGATGGCCTAGTGGCTAAATCCTCACATTGCATGTGCTGGGATCCCATAAGGACACCAGTCCTTGTCCAGGTTGTTCCACTTCCCTTCTAGCTCCATGTTTGTGGCCTGGGAAAGCAGTCAAGGATCCCCCAAAACCTTAGGACCCTGCACCTGGAAGAAGCTCCTGGTCCCTGGCTTCAGATTGCCTTAGCCCAGCTGTTGTAGCCACTTGAACCAGCAGATGGAAGATCTTTCTCTCTGACTCTCCTTCTCTCTGCATATCTGCCTTTCCAATACAATGTTAAAAAAAAAAATACTTACTTATTAAAGATTTATTTATTTGTATTGGAAAGTCAGATTTACAGAGAGGAGATAGATATTTATTTTAAAAAATTACTTATTTTTATTGGAAAGCCATTTCCTGGCTTCAGATCAGCTCAGCTTCAGCCTTTGTGGCTACTTGGGGAGTGAACCAGTAGATAGAAGATTTTTCTGTCTCTCCTTTCTGTAAATCTACTTTTCCAATAAAAATAAATAAACCTTTTTAAAATATCCCATAAAAAGCCTGAAGTAAAATAGGTAGAGATTGAATAGGATGCTGAAACTCTCTATGAGCAGCAGGAGGGACTGTCTTCCATCTGCTGGTTCAGTCCCCCAAACCTGCGCAACATCCAGGGCTGGGCAAGCCAAAACCAGGAGACCAGAGCTCCACTGGGGTCTCCAACCAGGATGGCAAAGGAGCCACTGTCTGTTGCATTAGCAGGAAGCTGGATCAGAAGCAGAACAGCCAGGACTATAACGGCCACTCTGACATGAGACACAGGCATCTCAAGCCATGGCTCAACTGCAGCACCACAGTACCTACCTCAAGATGGCAATACTTTTAGTCACCACTAAAACACACATTAGTCACCAAAATGCCATACATATCTATTTAGCTGTCAGGCAACAGAACAGGCCAGTAAAAAAAGAAAACATACAGAGGGTTGGTGTTATGGTATAATGGTTTAAGCTTTTGCTTAAGACTTTGGCATTGCTATGAGAGAGCCTATTCAAGTCCTGGTGGCCCCACTTCCTATCCAGCTTCCTGCTGATGCACCCGGGCAGGCAGCAGAGGATGAGCCAGATACTTGTGCCCTTGCCATCCACATGGGACACCTGGATTGAATTGTGTGATTCAGCCCCAACTCAGCCCAGTCCTATCTTTTGCATTTGTTTGGGAGTAAACTGTGAGGAGATGGCTTCTTTTAGTGCTTAGAAAGAAGGCATGGGGCCTGGTGCGGTGGCCTAGCAGCTGAGTCCTTGCCTTGAACACACGGGGATCCCATAAGGCCACCAGTTCTAATCTCAGCAGCCCTGCTTCCCATCCAGCTCCCTGCTTGTGGCCTGAGAAAGCAATTGAGGATGCCCCAAGGCCTTGGAACCCTGCACCGGTGTGGGAGACCTGGAAGAGGTTCCTGGCTCTTGGCTTTGGATCAGCGTAACTCAGCCCGTTGTAGTCACTTGGAGAGTGAATCAAGGGACGGAAGATGTTCCTCTCTATCTCTCCTCCTCTCTGTATATTCGACTTTCCAATAAAAAGAAATGTCAAAAAAAAAAAAAAAGGAAGGAAGGAAGGAGAGAAAGAAAGTAAGTAAGTCATGGAGTTTGGGGATCACTTCTCAATACTGGGCGGCTATAAGAAGTGGTTACAGAAACTGCAAGAAAGCACAAAGTATTAGTTGAGCCACAAGGTGGCATAGCCATAAATGTGACCAACATTTGGCATATACTATGCAGAATTCTACAAAGGAGAGATTTTCATTTTTTACCTAGAATAATATCTAACCTTAGCCGGATTTGGTACTTAATGATTCAGGCATCCTGGATAGAGGCAGGACAATGGTAAGTCACAAGCTGCCTCAAAATTTCATGGAGGGGCCCAGTGCAATGGCTCAATAGCTAAATCCTCAGCCGTGATCCCATGTTCGTGCCAGTTTGTGTCCCAGCTGCTCCACTTCCCATCCAGTACCCTGCCTGTGGCCTGGGAGGGCAGTGCAGTGGAGGATGACCCAAAGCCTTAAGACCCTGCACCCCAATGGGAGACCCAGAAGCTCCTGGTTGCTGGCTTCAGATCGGCACAGCTCCGGCCTTTGCGGCCACTTGGGGAGGTGGGGAAGGACCAGCATACTGAAGATCTTTCTCTGTCTCTCCTTCTCTCTGCCTCATCGTGTCTTCATGGCCCCCCGCCCGTCTCCCTGCTGCCCACACCCCCAAAGCCATTATTAGTACGTGCTTGTCTCACACCCTGAGCACCCCTGGACGCCAGCCAAAAAGGGTCCTCCCGAATCACATTAGTCAAATGCCTTCGGGTTTAGGTTAACAACTCGCAGCTCTGGTCAGACTGCGCCCCATCAACCCCACAACCCAACCACGGACCCCGGATACCAGCCCCTCCGCGCGCCTCCAGACCCTCCTCTGGGAAGCGGTTCCCATAAAGCTGAGCCCACCGCATCCCATCTAGCCCGGGCCAAGCATTAGAGCGCGACGGACACTCCCGAAAGATCGCCCTACATTAAAACGCCCCCACAACACTACCCAACCGCTCCCACTGCCCCGACTGAGCCTCCGTGCGAGGACCCCAAACAGGGCTGCCCAGCCGAGAGCCTGAAGGACCCCTACTAAGGGCTGTGCGGGCTGACTAGTGCGCTGCCTGGCGGCCGGGCTCCGCGACTGGAGGGCCAGAGAAATCCGGACCGAAGTGTTGCTGAAGTACCTCCGAAGGGGGCTAGATCGCGGGTACAAGGGGTGGAGGTCACGCAGCACGGGCGTGGGGGAGTGAGGGGACTGGAGGAAGCCACAGGTAGGGGGACCACAGGATCCCGCCGCACGCCGGAGGACGGGCGTGGGGTGCCCAGGCCGAGGCAACTTTTTAAAGTCTGTAATCGCTCTGAGGAGTGACTCCCTATGTTGAACAAGTTTCTGGGCATGTCTACGTTTGTTTCTAAACCAAGAAACAAGACAGCCCTAACTTGCCCGACCTCAGGAACGGGACTGGGACCTCTCTGCAGACCTTGCATTCGTCCCTGGAATAGTGGGGTGTGTGGTGAGGAACACTACTTGAGGCACTCAGCCGATGCTGCTCCTAGCCAGTCCTGTGCCAGGCACTGTGTATTAAGTTATGAGAATATATGATCATGAGCAAAATAAAATAAAAACAGTGCTGCTTTCAAGGAGCCGGCCTGATAACAAGTTGAAAGCTGCAGAAAAGATAGGACTGCAAGAACCGTTGCACTAGTTTCTCCACTGGGGCCAGACTGCACATCTAATAAGGCTATCAGGGCCACCTTCATGCTGCCCAGGCTCTGACCCTGTGTCTTCTTGGATACCTTCCCCGTGTTTCTTGGCAAATTTGAGTTATTGTGTTGAGACCCTGTCATTACTGCTTTGGAACTGATCGGTTCTTTACAGGTCAACAGGTGGGGGAGACCGTGGGTGCAGCCCAGTGCATAAACACTTGTATGTTGAGTATGATATGTCTACAGGACATTTTACTGGACACTAGGGGACAAGTGAGACTGTGCACATCCGTTGAGTTGGTAAAGTGAGCCTGTTAGTGCCGGGCACTGTCTGCTGCCTCAGACACGTGACTGTCTTCCGCAAGCCTTACTCAGAACAAACTCAAAATCAAACTCAGGTTTGATCTGGGCAGAGGAGGTCCTGGCCTGTCCGTCACACCAGATAAGAGATGGTGGTTAGCCAGGCAACTTCTCTTGTATCGCCCCATTCCAATTCTAGAACTGATGAGAGCACTGTGGACCCTCTAGAAGACAGAGGCCCATCAACAGGGAATCAGGCATTATACCTTACTCAGGAGTGTCAATTATTAGACCTCTGTAAAACACAGGCTTGGAAGGGAAGCACACATTGGCAGAGCTGGGTAGTGTTTGAGCCTAGATTTCTCTTTGAATGGGTACCTCCCTTGTAGAAGTACAAAACAGATTATGTGTTCCCTGGGGCAACTTAAGAGCTGCCTACCACTCTTCTTAAACCTATGAGCCCAGATAGGCAACTGAATAAAATGTAGGCAGCTTCATGCTGACACAGGCAGGTGGCTCAGGAGTGACAGCACGGTGCCTGAATGGGGAGGGGTGGAGAGTGTGACACTCCTAGGTCCCTAACCCAGCTCTCTGTTGGCAGGAGTGAGATGACCTCCATCTTGCGCAGCCCCCAGGCTCTCCAGCTCACTCTGGCCCTGATTAAGCCAGATGCAGTGGCTCACCCACTGATTCTGGAGGTAAGAACAAATGGAAGCAGCCCCAGGTGCTGTGGTACCTGCTGCAGTGCTGTCTGCTATGACGGCCAACAAAATGCTGAGCCAGATGCTGCAGAAGAGAAGCCAGGAGCAGTGGGCTCTGCCTGTTAGGAAACTAGAAATGTGTGGGACGCTTGGGACAACTCCTAAAGACAAGACTCAGTACAATAACAGAGGGAACCAAATGACAGGAAGATAGGAATACATACTGATTACATATTGCTACTTAACAGATGACCACAAACTTGACAGTTCAATGCTTTTTTTTAGCTCAGAGCTCTGTGACTGTGTAGTTCCATTGGCTAGGCTTGGGTGAATACTCCTCATAGGAGCTCACGAGGCCAGATCCACTTCCAGGCTCGCGAAGGTCACTGTGGGACTGAGGGCTGTGTCTCCCCACTAGCCAGCAGGCAGCAATTGCTCTCTCAGGTCCTAGAACCACCAGAGTCCACATCACAGGCTACGTTCCATTTCCCAGACAGCAACAGGGCATCAAGCCCTTCTCATACTTCAGATCTCTGACTTCTAATTCTCTCTCCTGTCAGAGAAAACTACTTTGAAAGGGGCGCCTGTGATTAATTGGGTCCACTCAGATAGTCTCCCTTTTAATGAAAGCAAATTCAACTGATTAGAAACCTTGGGCCCGGTGGCGTGGCCTAGCAGCTAAAGTCCTCGCCTTTAACGCGCCAGGATCCCATATGGGCGCCAGTTCTAACCCCAGCAGCTCTGCTTCCCATCCAGCTCCCTGCTTGTGGCCTGGGAAAGCAGTGGAGGTCGACCCAAAGCTTTAGGACCCTGCACACGTGTGGGAGACCTGGAAGAGGTTCCTGGTTCTCGGCTTCAGGTCGGCGCAGTACCAGCCATTGCACTCACTTGGGGAGTGAATCATTGGACGGAAGATCTTCCCCTCTGTCTCTCCTCCTCTCTGTATATCTGACTTTGTAATCAAAATAAATAAATCTTTAGAAGAAAAAAAAAAAAAAAGAAACCTAAATTAAACCTGCCAAGTTCCCTTTGTTAGGTACCACATCATGATCCTGTTGGATCCTATTCACCGTCCTGCAGATAGGGGTAGAAATCATAGAGTCAGGGTCCCACTATAGAACTCTGCCCGCCCCATCTGTTAAGTACCAACTGAGCAAGCCTGCTAACTCTGCCTTGGTGCACAAGACCACAGTGGTCAGGAATGGTGGCTTGGCAGTGGCTGCCAGAGCCAGCCCTCAAGGGAAGGGTGGAATCCTGGGAATGTCTGGAGGACAGGTGCCTAAGCAGAAATGTGTGTGCCTTGGTTGTGGGAAAAGGACAGAGCACACAGGGTAAGTACTGGGCTAAGGCAGTTGTATCTTATTCTAAAACCGTCTGGCCAGAGTGACGTATAAATTATAGGGTGCTTAGTCTATCTAGGGCCATCATCTGGAGAATGAAAGACTCTCATGGCACTGCAGGCAAGCCCCCTGCTGGGATAGGAGGGACAAAAACTCGTTGTCACCTGCCCCCCCTGAGGCCACACCCTGCATGACCAAAGCGCTTGGCTGCACCCCACCTTTCCACTGTAGCCCTCAAGTCCTGGGCCCCAAGCTCCTCAGGTTTCCTTTCAGTCTGCCTGAGTTTCCTGACTTTTTTTTTCCCTTTGGGGTATGTATTTATCCAGGCTGTTCATCAGCAGATCCTGAACAACAAGTTCATTATCGTGCGGAGGAGAGAACTTCAATTGAGAAAGGAAGACTGCCAGAGGTTTTACCAGGAGCATGAAGGTAGGAGTGACAGCACCATGCCTGAGTGAGGAGGGTTGGGGGCTGTGGTCCTCCTGGTTCCTTATTCCAGCTCCCTGGAGTGAGAGGACATCCACCTTGCAACAGAAATAGGATCAACAGTCCTCCAGATGGGCTGTTTCTCAGTCCCCGGAGGCTTCGATGAGCACTGTTGGTAGGATCACAACTGGCAGGCCCTGTCTGATGCCCCGTGTGAACCTGCTCTCACCGCCTCAAGTCCTGATTCAAACACAAACTTGGTGTGATTATCAGGTTTTTTTTTGTCCTCCTCCTCTATCAGGTCCTAACCCAAACCTTAATTTTTATGTCCTGGTAAGAATATCAGTTGTCAGTACTAAGTGTTTGCTCTGTCATAGTCGAGATGCTCCTGTCATCTCCTGACTAGCCCAAGTGCCAGGTATGACAAAATATCCAGATTAGGGAATTTGGTGAGGGAGGGTCATGACTCACTGCAGCCACACGGATTGGATCGTAGGTAGCAGAGTGTGGTTGCAGATCATAAAGTGTCAGACTCTGGGATCCTTGGTTTTGCTTTTAAAGATTTATTTATGTATTTAAAAGTCAGAGAAAGAGAGGATCTAATATCCACTAGTTCATTCTGCAAAAGGCTGCAGTGGTCAGAGCTGGACCAAGCTGAAGCTGGGAGCCAGGAGCTTCTTCCAGGTACCCCATGTAGGTACAGGGACCCAAATATTTAGGCTGTCTTCCACTACTTTCCCAAATGATTAGCAAGGAACTGGAAGTAATGTGGAGCAACCACAAACCAGTACCCATGTGGGATGCCAGTGTCACAGGTGGTGCCTTTACTCATTGGGCCACAATTCTGACCCCCTTATTCTTTCTTCTAGAATAGCTTCTATGATTCCATTTAAGGAGGTAGAAGTACCCCCAAAATTCTCCTGGATTCCAGCATCTCAATGAAGTTACTCTTTCTTGCAGGGCGTTTTTTCTATCAGCGGCTGGTGGAGTTCATGGCCAGGTATTTCTAATTTTGGTTTTAATATCTTTATCCACTGAGGCATATATTTCCAGCCCCCTAAACAGATTTCTTTTTTTAATTTGCCACTCTTTTTTTAAAAAAAAAAAAAAGATTTAATCAAGATTAGAAAGGCAAATTTTTACAGACAGAAGGAGAGACAGAATGATCTTCCATCCACTGGTTCACTCCCCAAAAGGCCACAATGGCTGGGGCTGAGCTGATCTACAGCCAGGAGCTTCTTCCCCGTCTCCTACATAGGTGCAGGGTCCCAAGGCTTTGGGCCATCCTCTACTGCTTTCCCAGGCCACAAGCAGGGAACTGGATGGGAAGTAGAGCAGCCAGGACATGAACTGATACCCACGTGGGATGCTGGTCTTTAAAGCTGAGGATTAGCCAGCTGAGCCTCTGCATCAGCCCCACAGCCTTTCTTGTATGTGTGCAGGGGCCCAGCCTCTTCCATGTGAAGCAGCCCTGGTACTCCACAAGGAAAACGAGGGCAGGGTGCACAGGGAACTTTGATTTGTACCCAACTCACAGTGGTCTGCAGTCCCTCCTACACTGGACAGCAGGATTCTTTCCATGGGCTCCTTTTGTTCACAGCGGGCCAATCAGAGCCTACATTCTCGCCCACAAGGATGCCATCCAGCTCTGGAGGACACTGATGGGGCCCACCAGAGTATTTCAAGCACGCTACACAGCCCCAGATTCCATTCGTGGGAGTTTTGGCCTCACTGACACCCGCAACACCACCCATGGGTCAGGTCGGTCTGCCTCCTCTGTCCACAGCCAGAATGTTGAGGGGATGGGTTATATGGTGGGACTGACAGCTGGCCAATCTAGCCAGTTCCATCTGTTTCTGGCTCTTTGTAACCATCTCGCAGCTGTGTGGCCTATGGATTTTCTTTCCATGCCCAGGACTGAGGGAGCCAGCAGGGGAAAGTGCATGCCCAGGTCTCTGAATCTGATCATGACCACCTCACTCCTGCATCCTGCACTTCCTGTGTCTGACCTTCCCTTGCAGACTCTGTGGCCTCAGCCAGCAGAGAGATTGCTGCCTTCTTCCCTGACTTCAGTGAGCAGCGCTGGTACGAGGAGGAGGAGCCCCGGTTGCGCTGTGGCCCCGTGTGCTATAGTCCAGAGGGAGGTATCCATTGTGCAGCTGGGACGGGAGGCCCAGGCCCAGCCTGATGGACACGTCAGTCCAGGAAGCCCCTGACTGGGACCAAGATGCCCTCTCTGCTGGGCACCACCACCTGCCAGAGAGCCTGGCTCATCACTACAAACGCTCCAGCACCTTGCTGTCTGTCTACCTCCTCTCTGGAATGTTCATGAATGGCTCAAGAGAACAGACTCCTTTTTGCTGACATGTTCTTCCTTTAAGGAGGAGCAGGCCTAACTGCATACCTAAAAAATGTCGTGACTGGGGACCAGTGCAGTGGCCTAGCAGATAAAGTTCTTGCCTCAAACGTGCCAGAATCCCATATGGGCACCAGTTCTAATCCTGGCAGCCCCACTTCCCATCCAGCTCCCTGGGAAGGCAGTTGAGGACAGCCCAAAGTCTTGGGACCTCGCAGCCATCTGGGAGACCTGGAGGAAGTTCCTGGCTTCTAGCTTCAGATCAGCATAGCACCGGCCGTTGTGCTCACTTGGGGAGTGAATCATCAGACAGAAGATCTTCCTCTTTGTCTCTCCTCTTCTTTGTATATCTGACTTTGCAATAAAAATAAATAAAATCTAAAAAAGAAGGAAGTGCCATGACTCTTTAAGAAACACCTGGGTTCTCTCCCTCAATAAAAGTCAACATTCTGCCGATTCCACAAAGTTGGAGGCACCCCACTGTGAATTCTCTCACACTCAAACCTGACAGCTTTTATTAAAAATAATAATAATAATAGGGTTCTCAAGTAGAAAACACTACCATCAAGGTTAAAAATTATTTTCACAACTGTGGTGCATTTGAGCTTTAGACTGTAGAACAATCTTAGGAAAATTCATTGTTTTATTTTATTCACAGAAATATTTCGTATTCAAAGGAATTTTGCAGACACTGAGCCCTGAGCCAATAAAAGTTTAGGTACATACAGGAGCTTTCAATGAGATGCAAGAATGTAGAATAATTGCTGGTGAAGGGAGCTGATGAAGCCACTGCGCATGACACCAGCATCTCACATAGGCATGGGTTAGAGTTCCCCACCTTTCTGCTCCCCATCCAACCCACTGCTAATGGCCCAGTTGATTGGGCTCCTCCCACCCCATGGGAGACCCAGAAGCAGCTTCTGCCTGCGGGCTTGCCTCTGACCCAGCCCTGGCCATTTTGGGAGTGAACTGGCAGATGGAAGATTTGTTTCACTTGCACCACTCCACTCTCTGTAACTGTCTTTTAAATGAATAAAATAAAAATTAAATATTTTTTAAAAAGGGGAGGGCAGCAGAAGCTAGTCCAAGTACTTCAGTCCCTGCCAGCCACATGGGATAAAGTGATAAGCTCCTGGCTTGACCTGGCTCTACCCTGGCTGTCATGGTCATTTGGGAGTGAACCAGCAAAGGGGAAGATTCACTCCCGTCCAATGATTCACTCCCCAAGCGACCGCAATGGCCGGTGTTGCACCGATCCAAAGCCAGGCGCCAGGAACCTCCTCCAGGTCTCCCACATGGGTGCAGGATCCCAACGCTTTGGGCTGTCCTTGACTGCTTTCCCAGGCCACAAGCAGGGAGCTGGACGGGAAGTGGAGCTGCTGAAATTAGAACTGGCGCCCATATGGGATCCCCGGCATGCATGGTGAGGACTTTAGCCACCAGGCCACCTTGCCAGGCCCCCCATATGGTTCTAATCCCAGTGAGCAAATGTACAAGACCAGGGTCAAGGCCTAGGGATGAGGGTCCACACCTGGGCCACAGCACACAGCCACAGGACTCTGTGCTTAAAGAAATTCTTGAGATAATCACGTACTGACTCTGTGCTTAGGACACACTGCTGCGCCCTAATCCTCAAGCACTCCTTGGCTAACATCAGTGTGGGATGCAGCAATCAACTCTGTGCCACTTGGCTCCCCCAGCCGTTCAATAAGAAATAAAGCAGCAAGCTTCCTGGGTCGACCTCCTTCATCAGAGAAGGGGGCTTCCCTCTGGCACACAACTCCCTTAGTCTTTATCTGCTGTCTGTCTCATTTCTTATTTTCTCAGTTGCACTTCATCCCCTCTTCAACCTTATCCATGCCACACTGTTTGGGATATCAACAAAACCTGCTAATGTGCCTGGAAAAGCAGGGGAAGGCGGCTCAAATTTGTGGTCCCAGTACTGGCGTGGAACTCATGAAGTCTTTCCACAATATGCATTTCCACAAACTTTTTGAAAGTCCCACACACAAGTGCTCACTGACTTACTATGTATGGGGTTTTACCTCAATAAAGCCACTGAATGCATCATTAAGTCAAAAATGTCTCCAAACATCTAAGCTACTGAACATCTCAGCTTCACCTAGCATATTTTAAACCTGCTCTGAAACACACACTCCGGCTTCCTGCTGCGGAGAGCACCGTGTGGCACCCTGCTGGCCCCAGCGGAGGACAAGAACGCAAACTGTGGTTTCTACCATGTACTGCTTCTGCACCTGGTAATATTAAAACATCAAACCATCTTAAGTCAGAGACCATCTGTAAAATTCAACATGCAGCTTCTCACCTGTACGCAGCACATCACAAATGCTCAAGAGCCACCACTAAATGATGACAGCCAGAGAGGGTAGGGCAGACCTTCTGTGTCTTGGAACCCCAGGCCCCGAGCAAAAACAGATGGGCACCCACTTCGCCATCATCAAAATCCCCCAAAGCAGAGCATTGGCTGGGCTAGAGCTGATCAACCAAGGAAAATATAAGGCTTGCACAATCCGAGAACGCACAGGGGACTGCCCACGGACCTCATTCTGTGAGAGTCCTCACCCTGTACCCCCAGCGGGAGTTAAGGCCATAGCCACCCACGCTCCTCACCCTCCACTTTGCAAAAGAAATATCGGCTTTATTCCCCTACCCCGGTGACAAGGGTTGGCTAAAAACGGGAGCTGAGAAGGGCGCACTGACGCAGGGTTGAGAGCTCCACACTGAGGGACAAGTCGTGGAGAAGCGGCTGTGGGAACCGTGGGCGAGATAGGAGGGAGACACTGGCGCGAGAGACACTGGACAGCGCGAGAGGAGCCAGCACCCCCACTCGGCGTCCGTACGACCAGGCAACACGGCGGCGGGGAGGCGGTTTTGCTCTTTTCGACCTGCCTGGACGGACACACTCACCGCCCGCGAGCAACGCCACCCGCTGCTAGGCAGTGGACATCCGGTAGTGCTGCCTTCTCCACTAGGGCGTCGCCGGAGGAAGTGCGTCACCGAACAGCGCGCAGCCTGCCGGGACGTGTACTTCTGGGTACAGGGGCATCTAGCGAAGAGAGCTGGAAGCGCGGGACAGGGACTGTCTTGCAGTCCTGGATCCCTATGATCTGCTAACTCCCGCCTCTACACTTACAATTTTTTTCTTTTACCTCTTGCCTCCTGGAGGAGTAACTGCCCCCGGCTCTTTCTCTCTCTTACACACACACACACACACACACACAAACACTCTCTCTCTCTCTAATCCTCTCTCTCTCTCCCAGAAGTCGTAATCAGACAACAGACCCGACACCTGGAAAGGTTGCGTTCACATCGTTTATTGTTCAGAGTCCCAAAGCCTGAACCAGGACAGAGCAGACTCTATTTACCCCCGGGGAATGGTACACGGGGTATATACGGGAGAAACCTCGGTAATTTCCGCAATGCATTTCCAATCTTCTTCCTAATTCTTCGTAAGGACCTACGAAGCCCGGTGGCTTCCTTGGCCTGTTGCGGGGGAACACCAGTATGGAATGAACACCCTGTGGGAACTAAAACCTCTTTCCATCTAAACTCCCTATCCTGGGCCACCCCACTTGGAATCTTGGGAATATGTGGTTGAGCCTCCTATCCCCCAAAAAACAGGAGAAAAAAACAAGTCCCAGCGAAAGCAAGCCCCCAACACAGGACAGCTCTCGGTCAAGGGCTCGTTACTGTAAGGCAGGCTGTCAGATTTCAGCAGAGAGGAAGTTGGAGGTGTGGGGGAGTAGGAAGATGGAGGGAGGCCTGGGAACCTGCATCTGCAACAAGTTCCCAGCTGAGGACCACACCTTGACAGCCTCTGCTCTAAGGCGCTGCCCAGCTGCCTCTGGAGATGGGGTTCAGGTGGAGGAGACCGGGGTGCCCCTGCATCCCACAACAGCCCACTCACAGCATCACAGTTGAGGTCAAAGGATTCCCGGGCCTGGTTTAGCATCACGGTCCCCGCACATTGCTCCACCAGCTGAGGAGAGAAAACTCAATAACTGGACCACACCCACCCCTTGTGCCCTTCTGCCTCACCCGTGGGGCAGGACATGTTCCCCCGGGAAACCCTTGAGCAACCTCCTCTAGAGGGGAAGCTCCCAACCAGCCCCCAGCCTCACCCCGTCCTCCTTGAAGTCACACTGCTCTGGTAGCTGCTCTGTTGTCTTAGGGCACACCGTCTCCTTCACTGTGAATTTCACAGGCTTCGGGGTATTTGGGTCATTGTCCTGGCCAGAGGGAAAATGGGGAGACCAGGTTTGGCTCTGTTCTTGCCTCCTCTGATTGCTTCCCTCCGCCTCCCCCTACCACAACTGCCAATCTTCCCACAACACCTGCTGTGTGCCAAGCACTGAGGGAGCTGAGCACACACTGGGACCAGCCTCAGTCCAGCGCTCATCTGGACCCTCCAGGCTGAGCAGAGGCAGGGGAATTAAAGCAGGGGAGCCAGTGGCCTCGTCCTTGTCTCCAGGACCTGCAATGGGAGTGGGCACCCATACCACAGCAGGGACTCTGGGACAGGAAGTTCTCATGCCAGGAGAAAACTGAGCTCCAGGAAGCCTTCCTGTGAGAGACAAGCGGGCAAAGCGTAGCAAGAACAGAGGAAGTGCCCTGAGGCTGGCTGGAGCAGAAGTGCATTGTGCTGGCCCCAGCTCACCTCCGGGGGCTGGGATTCCAGATCCAGGAGGCGGAAGAGGTTGTCATGAAAGGACCGCTGGTTGAAGCTGTCCACAGCGCGGAGCACGGCCTCCTGGTAGCTGAGGATCTGGGCGGTGGCCACAGGCATCACCAGGCCCAGCAGCAGCAGGGAAACCGCACGCCTCTGGGTCTCCATACTCCCCAAGTCTGTCTCCGCTCTGCCCCCAGGAAGCCCTTTTATGCCCAACCTGAGCCACCCATCCTCGGCTGCCTGCCAGGGCGGGCTGTGGGGCCACGGCCTTGCCTCAGCTCCTGCCATTGCCTCACAGGCCTGCTGGGCAATGACCGGCTCTGCCCATGTGCAAGATGGCAGGATGAAGAAATGGTTTCCCCATCTCCTGGCCACTGTCCTGGCCTCTCCCAGATCCCGCAGGGGATGGACATAGTCAGGATGGTTACAAGCACCCTGTGCACTCAGCA